TTTCGGGATCACGGAGCCGCCATATGCGGTCGCTGGAGGTGATCTTGTGCTACAGCTGCACATTAGACATTTTGACGGCTCCACACATTTGAAGTGCGTGCTCGTCAGGTATTCCAGAGCTTGTACAGACATGTGCATATACTTGATCGGCCGTCTCACTTTAGCCGAAGAGGCTTTTTGTTTAGTTAACAGGTGGCGCAGGCGAAGCAGCAGCAATAATGTCGAAGAGGTTGAATTGTCAATTATGCTGCGGTTGAGTGCAGTCGACATTTACATAGCGAGCAAGTTGTCCCAATCGGAAACTGCTCTCGGCTTGTCTCCCAACAGAGAGCATGGTCGAGAGCTTCGCTGCTGTGGAAACCTGGGAACAGGTGCAAGAAGCTAAAAGCGTGGGCGCCGAATGGGATGGTGCGACGACACAGTCCCAGACACTTCGGGACTTGCCGGACGCCACTTTGAGGAGATCACGTGCTGCAGAGAGCCCTCCAGATGCCGGTTCACACATAAACCTCGTAAGCCTATGGCACGAAGCGGTGATTCCATGAAGACCCTCGCTTCGACTCATCACAGCCTACCTCATATTCTTCAGCTCTAGGCTAGAAAGACTTCAGCACGAGCCGCACAGTCTATGGGCTTACTCTGGCTCCACGTGCCCTGCCGAGGTGTGTCCTGGGCTGTTTGATGCTGTTTTTCTTTCAGCGCCCGTATCGCTGGTACTTTGAACATGGCCTTGCAGAGTTTCGAGCTTATGTTTTAGGGTTCGGCGTGTCCCTCCTTGCAGATGTCGCATGAGGCATTGGCCCGAAACCTGAAGGAAGAAGAATCACGACTCTGAGAGCCGATCATCTCGTAGGATGTCAGGAGGCTGGCCGCAATTTTGCCGCCAGAGCACACGCCTCGCCCTGTGATTCGATTGTGCTCCTGAGACACGTTACGTTTTCAGAGCCGATGTCTCCTTGTAGCGCCTCCAGGAGCAACCCCGGGTCGCGCGCTATCGAAAGTTAAAAGCCCGACAGCTCGTTGAAGCACCGCCGTGGGAAGAAGCTGTTTCTATGTCAAGAGGGAGAGGATGATCGTGCCGAAGGGGCTCTGTCTGTAGATCATTAGGTGTGCACTCAGTATGCAACAGGCCCCTTCGTACTAGCACTATGTCAACACGGACTATTGGCAGAATCACGTCTTGAAGCCGCGATCACCATAAAATAATAGCCACAGACTTCAGAACGCTGAAGAACCAAAAACTCCAAGCCCTTGAACCGCATCTCGCCAGGTGAGCAGCTTCATCTCCAGCTTCGAGATGCCAAGATCCTCTCTAGCGTGCTGAGCCCAGCTGCTCGATGGATTTGGCCAGGAGGCTTTCGGGCCAGTCCGGATGCAGGCTTTCTTTTGAAAGCAAATTTTCTTCATTGAGATTGTGGCTTCGATGGTGGGCAGGGAAGGAGAGAGAATGGAAGAGCAGGTATCTCGGACTTTTCCCAACAAGGATCCCCTTTCCGAAACCTCAGAACTGCTTCCAACAGCGAGCCAGACGAACACCACGACTCATACTTCAATGAGACCCGTGCACGAGGAGATCCAACTGAGACTGCCCAAAAGCCCGGACGAAGGTCGGACGCGCCAGACGTTTCACTTCCTCCTGGCGATGACTCGCCCGAGGACAGCGCGTGATTCGGAAATTGTGTGAGACGCTTCGAGATGGCGGCTTCGTGAAAGGGTTGCAGCCTCTTGCACAAGGCATTCGTGCTTCGGCTGAAGATACGGTACGGCGCTTTGGTTCACGTTTGGAATCAGAAGGCGATATTGCCGACGATGATGGTGGACAGTGTGAGGATGGCGGTGGTGGTGACTGAACATCAAGTGAACAAACACGATCGCTACATTGTTATTGTTGGTTCTTCCATTGTTCTGTTGTTGCTAGTGCTCTGTGTATGTGGCCACTGTACCAGCAGTAGCGGTATACGTGCCAGCACCAGTACGAGTGCTAGCTAGTAAGAGTGCTTCCAGTACTGCTAGCAGTCGTCTTCGCCGGAGGGTAGCAGTAGAGGTAGGCGTAGCGGCAGCGGTGCTGCTCCTGCTGCTGTTGCTGCCGCAGTTACTCCTCCTCCTCCTCCTCCTCCTCCTCCTCCTCCTCCTCCTCCTGCTGCTGCTGCTGCTGCTGCTGCTGCTGCTACTACGACTACGACTACTACTACCAGTTCTTCTACTCGTACTAGCAGCAATAATTTTAACGCTACGCCGCCCGCCTCGGCTGTGTAGCGGCAGGGCGAGGGGGCAGTCGATGTTTTTTTATGCTAGGGCGGCCTGTCAAACCCCAACCTTTACACGGTTACGGTTGTTGAGACGAAGTGCGAGGAGAACGGGTACAAGGGGGAAGGAGGGGAGGGGGGAGGGGGGGGGAGGGGGGGGGTGAAACCATAAACCTCTAAAGGGGTAGCTCTAACAGGTACCTACAGCAATGGCTGCATGCTCATACATATACATTCCGCTGCCCATTGGCTCACAGTGGTTTTACCATATTGAGACAAGACAAGCTCTCCTTGCGTAGCAAGACAAAACAACTACTGTCCGTGTGCAGGGCGCTGACCTTTGATCCTTAGGGAATAACTGGTCATACACCTCCTCACAAGGAGTATCCCTTGGGGGTGTATCGGCACAGTTTTCTGGTAGCGGAGCCCGGAAAGGGCCGCCCGCCTCACAAGGTCCGCTACAGCGGTCGGCCTCGCCGAACGCTTAACCAAGCGGATAAGAGGCAGCACAATGTCGAGCTCGCATAGCGAAGCCGACGGCAGTTCCCAATCCTCCGGGGGATATGAGAACGAAGAGACCTCCCAAGGTCCAGCTACTTATGTCGCACGGTCATATGCAACATCTGACCGCATGCTTGCATCATTAGGCATAACGCCCAAGATCGCGCCTGCCTATGATGGCACCACTTCGTGGTGTGAGTATGAACAGTTGATTGACGACTGGTGCGACATAACAACGCTGGATGACACCAAAAGAGGTCCGTCTCTCAAGACGAGGCTCTCCGGATTGGCCGCAGTACAAAAGGAATCACTGAACCGAGAAAGGCTTGCAGCCCCAGATGGAGTAGATTACTTCAAGAAGAAGATGCGGCCATTTTTCGTGAAAGGAGAACAGTACGTTTTCCTGTGGCGTTTCCTCGGCCTATTCAAGGCATGGAAGGGCAACCAAGACTTTGTGACTTGGATTGCCAAGTTTGAGATCGTGCTACAGCGCGTGAAAAACTCATGGATGGATCTCTTACCAGAGATAGCTCTGGAAGATGCCCATCCGGATTTCATGCAGGCTGTGCAGGCAGATCAAACCTTCTTGCGCCTACAGGATGCAACCGAGAGAGACACATACGCCGCACGTTTCTTCGAAACATGGAACAAGGAACGCCTTGATAATCATCGAAGAGCGTTTCCTCTAAATGATAATCTCCTAGCTCTCCTCTTCCTAGTGCAGGCCGACCTAAATGAGATGCAACGTGAGAGGTTGGTAACAGCATTGACCAACCAAGGTTACCGAATTGAGACCTACACGTACCCTATAGTACGGCAGACCATGTTCGATCAGTTCTCAAAGACCAGAACTGGTCTGCAGGATCCCAATATTCGGCACACTTCTCACAAGAAGGACCGCCATGGAAGGAGAGATCAACGCCGCAAACGCGGAGGTCGAAACTTCCTCATCCTCGATCAGGGTGAATACGACGGAGTCGATGGATTCTGGCCCCAAGACGAAGACACCCTTGAGGAAGGCTTTCTTGCCGCCGAGGATGAAGAAGCTGTCTTCTGGACAGTTGACGACCATGAAGCCTTCGTTGCAAGGAGATTCAAAAAGGGAAGAAGACCAAGAATGCGTCCCGGATAACCGGGAAGAGCAAAGGGTGGCAAGCGAAAAGGACGTGGCCGTTTTAGGTCATACCGCGGAAAAGGGAGAGCCAACCAGGCAGAACATGATCCAACTGATTCCAGCTATTTCGGTAAAGGTAAAGGAAAAGAAAAAGGAAAAGGTGGAAAAGGCAAAGGAAAAGGAAAGGACAAAGGAGATAAAGGAAGCTCCTTCAAGGGCACAAAATCAAAAGGCAAGGGTAAGGATACAGCTAAGTCTGCCTCCTTACAAGGAGACCAAACTGGATCTCCACAGGCCTATGAAAGTTCCACCGCACCGAGCTGGGATTCATGGTATGAGGACAGTTATTATACTGACTCCATTTGGAATTATGCCGCTTATGACGATCAAACGTCTTATACATACTATGCATCACAAGCCTCACGAAGAAAGACACGGAGAAAGAAGAGAAGAAATCAAGCAGGATCATCAGGTAGAGGCACAGATCCGAGCGCGCACAAAGAACCCGTGTACAACTCATCAGTGAGTTACGTGCCCCAGGTCTCTGGACCATGCGAGGGGCAAGGTGTGGAGACTGCAACAGCAGTGTTTCCGTTGCAGCACACCGTCCTATCTGCTCTCACAGAGCGGATCAATCTTGATAAGAGCCCTACCTTTGTCATACGTGACTCTGGTTGTACTAGGGCTATGGGTTCCCGCTATGCGGTGAACAGGCTTATCAAGGCCGTGAAGCAACGTGCCCCAGGCATGATTGATTTCACTTTCTCACCTTCGAACACGAAGTTCTCTTTCGCAGATAGTGAAACAGCTCTTATCAAGAAGCGTGTAACTCTATGGTTCAACACAACTCCAAGAAGAGATACAACCATAGAAGTTCTGGATCAGGGGAGAGTTCCCATTTTGTTCTCCATTGAACAGATGAGAAATCTAAGAATGACCCTCGAGTGTAGTCCAACAGCTGACCTAGCAACGTGTGAAGCTTTCGGTTTGTATAAAACACCTCTTCCGATTAGTACCAATAACCATTTGGTATTGGACCTTCTAGGCTTTACTTCCACCAGGAAGTACCTCCCTAAGTCAGGTACGTCGTTCAGTGCGACGGAGACTGCTCTAGGAGCCAATAAGCCTTGTGTTAGGATACCGGAAGGTCGCTGTCCAGCCTGTGCCGGACAGAAAAAGGCTCACACGTACCTCAAGGGTTGTGACAAAGCACCTGAGGGAGCAGCTGATCCACCACCGAAGAGGATTTCAGGGAAAAAGAAGCCTCTTCCATCTGATCCGGCAGAATCATCTGCCAAGAAACTTGACCCACCAGAACCATCTGGTGATTCTCCTGAGCCTTCCGGACCATCGGAACCATCATCAGGCTCTAGGGACAAACCTGCAGAATCCTCTGCACCACATGAACCTCCAGAAGAAGAAAGACTTGAGGTTCCACCTGCGAAGATAAAGACTCCAAAGGGTCTCAAAAACCTTCTGAAGAAATCCCGCAAATATGCTGTTAAATCTCCTGTTGAAGAGAAGTCTAAGGTCCCAGGAGCTGATGACGGGACGGAGGTAAGACCACTTGAGTCAAGAGAATACCCGGCTCCTGGTACAGACTCACCTACAGGTGAAGAGATTGTCGCGGAACCATCGCCATCTCTTCCCATTGCTCGTCGCAGGATTCATGAGAAGCTTAAGGACCCTGTAGAACTCTATAAGCTTCACCTTAAGCACCGTCATATGAGTACGGATCAGTTCAAGCGACGCACAAAAGCCTTACAGATCCCAAAGGAGATCTACGAGCTATATGACCAACTGGTCAAGAAGTGTTCAGCCTGCCAGGAACATGTGAGAGCTCCTTCGAGAGCAAAGATTTCTGGTTTAAGATCAGAGACTTTCGGTGATCTCACCTTCGTAGATCACGGTGAGCTTCCAATTCCCGGCAAGGATAGTCGCTTAGTATTTCTTATTCTCGATGATGGAGCAACAAACTTGTTGACTGCCGAAGTAGTCCAGGATAAAGAAGAACATACTACAATGTCGATTATGAATGACTACTTTGAGAAATTTCAGATCAACCCAAAGGTTGTAGTTGGAGATCAAGCATTTATGACTCCAAAAATGGAGGCTTATTACAATCGGCAGAATATCAAGCCTGTGGCAACAGGACCTGGAACACCATGGCCCAACAGGGCCGAAGCTGCTGTAAGATTGATGAAGCATCAGATTAAGCTCATACTTCAGATTCTGAAGGATGGTGACCCGCAGTATAACGGAATCACCATGAAGTATGGCAACCTCGTTCGCCAAGCATGTTTGGCAAGAAACTCTTCGATTACCTACGGAGGGGTTACTCCTTTAGAAATGGCCTTTGGAAGGCGTCCTCGAGATGTTATAACACCAGAGAACGCTGATCCCAATCAGTTGACAGGTAATCCAACTGATACGGAAGTCACTGCGAGAGCCATTAAGGAGCTTGCCAACAGGGCTTACCAAGAGGCACGCCAATCTGATGATCTGCGTAGAGATCTTGCAGCCAGACTGTCACTGACCCAAGGACCTTTCTCTTTGGGAGATAAGGTTTTCTACTGGTCAGAAGATAAGTCTAAGATTGGATCCACTGGGTCCAAACATGGATCTTGGCTAAAAGGAAAGGTGATCTCCGAACGCGGAGGATCCATGGTAGGTGTGGATCTTGGAACACGCATCGTCCGCGTCAATATCTCAAAACTGAGGAAAAATTATGACATAACATCTGATGTGGAGATTCCTCTCGCGCCTGATGAGGAAACTCTGACGTCAGAAGGTTC